CCCAGCTATTATCTTGACGAGGAATATGTCTCAAGATCGCATGCCAGTTCCTCTTCATCAATTCCTATGCATGCTTGGTATGAGAATAAGAGAATTAAACCATGAAAGAATATCAAGATAAATGACACCTTTTATTTCTAAAAAGGTATAAAAGATATGACTTGGGACAATGACTATGCCATCACTCAACGTTTGAATGAGTTTTTATTCCTAAAAATGTTTTTTTTTTTAAGTTTTTTAAGAATATTTAGATGTTTGGATAACAACTTTTTAAAAAAGTAAAAGTTAAAATAAAAGTTAAAATTTTGCTTATTTTTTTTTAGCCAGTAGTTGGTTGCTTTTGAAAAAATCAGAAATTAAAAGATAATATATATTACTTTTTTTGAAAAAAGATCATATAAATTTCTAAAATATAATTTTAACTTCATCCTATCATACCTATTTTGTCTCTTCTTATCCCATGATCATGTTATTTTATCTCTCATTTATTGTAATTTTATATATAAAAAGTGTTTTTTTTTATTTTAACGTCCAAATAACTTTTTTATGTAAAAGTGATTTTCAGATCATACATTCAAACTAGGGGTGTTCGCGGTCTGGATTGGATCGGTTTTGGAAGCAAAATTCATCCGATCCAATCCCTTCGGTTTGATCATGTAATCATCCATTCGGTTTAGATTTTTTTTCAAATCCGATCCGATCCAATCCAATTTTTTTCGGTTTGGATTGGATCGGTTTTCGGTTTTTTGAATATCCTAAAATTAGTTTCATGATTATTGTGCAAATAACATCTTTTGTATATATTGGCTTTGTAAAAAAAAAAATTGAAATACAAAAATATCAGTAAACAATACTATAGTTGATGAGACGTGACTAAGTTTTTTTTTGGGTTTAGTTGATGAGTTAATGAGTCTTGAGTTTAGAAATTTTTGGGCTATGATTGGAGTAAAGACAAGTAGGTAGAGAATAATTAATATATTGGATCGGTTTGGATTGGATCGGTTTTCATCAACACATCCGAAAACCGATCCAATCCAATTAAAATTTGCGGTTTTCTTTCAGTTTCTGATTTTTCGGTTTTCGGTTTATTCGGTTATCGGTTTTTCGGTTCGATTTTCGCGGTTTGGATCGGTTTGGATCGGTTGATGAACACACCTAATTCAAACATAAAATAACTTTATCTTTTAAAAAAAATTCTTTTAAAAAATACAATGCATAAAAAGTCTTTTTTTTTAAAAGCTCATCCAAATGGGCTCTGAGAAGAGTCCACCACAAATGAGACTAAAGGCTAGGCCACCCTCCCAATTGATAAAAAATCCACTTACCTCATCACTAACCAAAGGCTAGATAAAGGTAACAAGTATTTGAGAGAACTTGCAATACTCACAATTTTTATTCATCAAATTGTGGTGTTGCTGGTTGCAAGTATTTCCTATTTATAGATGAAACTAAAAGCATGAAAATAAAAAAAAGAAATCAACTATTAACTATTCTTCAACTTTCTAAACTGATTTGCCTAGAAACTAGCTTCATAACAACTTACAAGAGTTGTGTTGCTTAGGAAATACAATAATTAATAACATCTCCCCGAAATTTTGTTGCTTGGGAAATAAGACAATTATGTGCCCATGTCTATCTAGCTTGAGCATTAATGTTGATTTTTTTTACGATCATTTATAACTGACCCATTAAGGAACCAACTAGGCATAATTGTCCTAAAACAACTTGGGAACCCATTTGAAATTGGGCCTTGAAGCTGGTTCATAAATTTGCATCAATTGGGCTTAATATTTGATCTCCTGTAATCCAACTCAGCATATTTGCTATCGCATCATCATGATTTTTTTATCTTTTTGTCCCTCATTAATTATTTAATAATTAGTTTGCTCCTTATTCAGAATTATTTACCAATTTGTCCCTCTTTAATCGATTAAGCCAAAAATTTAATCGATTAAATGGTCAAATGAAGATTTAATCGATTAAATCTTCCTCTTTACCAGAAGAACAACCTTATGCATGGGAGATTTAGTCGATTAAATAGGGATATTTAATTGACTAAATCTTCAAGTCAACGATTTTTGCCTATTTTAACCATTTAATCGATTAAATTTTTGGCTTAATCGATTAAAGAATGGCAGATTGGTAAATAGTTCTGAATAAGGGCCAAAATGATTATTAAATAATTAATGAGGGGCAAAAGGGTGAAAAAGCCGCATCATCCAACCCTTTCAACAAAAAATTTGAAAAACGAGTATGATTTTCGAGTTAACCAAAGATTTATTCCTCTTGATTAGAATTTGCCCTCAAATCTTCAAGGTCTTCAGTCAAGTATGAAATTAAATCACTCACATCGAAAGTAGTAGAAATATTGGTTTCTCTAGGAAACTATCGTTTGTATGCTTTATCTCCAACCTTGAACGGACCATCTCCACGAGCCATTAGTTTAATTTTCCTACTTGAAGGAAATCTTTGACTCCTCAAATGAAGCCAAACTAGATCATCAGGTGTTCACAATCTTATTTATTTTAAATTAATTGGGACAAAATTTGATGTTCACAATTGCCTCTTTTTATTTCTTGCTAGATAATATAACAAATCATAATTTGCATATTACCGTTATAAGAAGAAAAAGTAAAGACATAAAATCCTAATTTTGTCCAAGAGTACATGAATAATGCAATAGAAAATATATGTGAGCAAGATGCAACCTAAGAATTTAAAAAATGGGCTGCCAATGTGTGGAGCTCTAAAGACAAGAACTTCAATTGCATGGTCTGTGAGTCTAAAAATTAAAATTGCACGAACCTCTAAACTCAAAAATAAATTATAATAAATTAATATAAATGGCCTCTGAACTCAAAAATAGCAATTTTAAATTGCATGGTCTTTGAGACTTAATATTAAAATGCAATAAGTAAGCTCAAAAGTAAAGAACACCAATTTAAATTGTATGATCTCTTAGCCTGAAAATTAAAATTTAATCAGCCTTTAAGCACAAAAGCAAATAACTCAGATTTAAATTGCATGGCCCTTGAGCCAAAATATAAACATAATGAGCCTCTAAGTTCAAATGTAAATGGCAAAAGTTGAAATTGAATAACTTATGAGCCTGAAAAAGTAAATTGCAATGAGACTCTTAACTCAAAATTAAATAATAGAAATTTAACTTGCTTAGCCTCTAAGCCTAAAAATTAACATGCAATGATCCTCCGAGCTCTAAAATAAATGACAAAAATTTAAAATGCATGGTCTATATGTCTAAAAATAAATTATAAGAATTTGAAATTACATTGCCTCTAAGCTTAAAAAATAAGTTTGCAATAAGTCTCTGAGCGCTAAAGAAAATGACGAAAATTCTAAATGCATGACCTTTGAGCCTAAAAAAATTATAATATTTTAAATTGCAAGGCTTGAGTCTGAAAATTAAAACACAATGGGCATAGGCGCTCGAAATTATAAAAGAGAGAAATTAAGTTTACTTGGCCCATGGGCCTAGAAGTAAACAACAAATATTTAAATTGCATGGCTTGTGAGCTCAACAATTAAAATGTGATGATTATTACAAAAAAAAATAAAAATGTGATGATTGAATGCAACAATCTGCAATGATTGAGAATGAATGACAAGGCCATAATGCCAAGAATGCAGTAAATTTTAATTTCTTTTATTTTTCGAATTAAGAAAAGTTTTATTCACATGGGAACCATGAACTCCATTTCCTGGATATTTCTTGGTATTTTTGTATTGTACACAATATTGAAGGCACAAAAACCTGTAGACAACTTCTCATATGAAATATGGTGAGAAATAGGATGAGTAGTACAGAATCGAGTATTTTTTCTCGAACAATAGGCAAGTGCAGATCAACTATGTCATGGCATACATGTGCTTGATTATTGGAACTAGAGCACAAATAAGAATCCTCGTAGTCTAGAGGTTCTGGATTATTTACCCTTTGAGGATTCTTTCGCAGTTTTTCCTGCTATAAACCAAAGGCTGAATAACTCCTCGTGTCTCCAACTGTAACATTGTGGCATCAGGTACTATGGTTGCTTCCTTGTTTCCATTGGTAGTGTTAACAGTGTGGTTTCAGTAGGTTCTCATGACTTATCTTCATCTTCTTTTATGGACACCTCCTAAAGAGAAGGCAACGGAAAAGAGGATTGTGTTTCGAAAAACAGTGGCATCCATAGAAACAAATACCTTATGCAAAGAGGACGAATAACACTTGTAGCGTTGTTGAGTAGAAGAGTAACCAATGAAGACGCACTTAAGGGACTTAGGGTCAAGTTTGGAACTCTGATGACCGGGAATATGGACAAAGGTGGCACAACCAAATAACTTGGGAGGAAGAGACAAAATGGTTTTGATAAAATTTATTACTTGATAAATATTTTACAGAAAGATTTCTGATAAACAAAATGCAGGTAACATAATCAGGTCAAAGAAAATGAGCAATGAGAGCTTGCTCAAGCGTATCCACCAACAATCCAGAATACAAAGACAACAACAGTCACAATTTTTCCCATAACTCAAGACAGTCCATAGAATTTTATTAGAAAGAATCAATCTGTACAAAATTTTTCTAGCACAACAAATTACAACCAACACTCCAGCTAAGGGTGTGCATGGGTCGAATTGAACCAATTTTTTTGAAAAACCGAACCGAATTGGTTTAAATGGTTCAGTTCGAAACCGGTTCGGTTCAGTTACGTTCAAAATCGATTCGATTCGATTCAAAAATGGTTTGTTTCGGTTTGGAACCGGTTCAGATCGACCCAACTCTGAAAAGAAAAGAAAAGAAAATTAAAAAATTAAAGAAATAAAGTAATAAAGGTAACAATATATGTCTAATTTTCACATTGACTTAAATTTTTCTTTCAATTCATTTACTTATTTTTTTTATTTTTCACAGGATAGGTATATGATCCACTTTCATTAGTCGAAAGTAAATTGTTATTGAGTCATACATCACATATATAAAAAAAAGAAGGTGCAAATTTAAGGGCCATCTAGCCCTATATTGCTAATGTATCCAAGCTTCATATAAGGATTAGGAATGATGTGGTTCAATCTGATTTAGATGGAAACTGCCTTTGTTATTCTTGTGTACTTCTACCTTGAACTTCTCTTCCTTGTCTCCCCTCTTGACCTTGAGGAGCATATTAAACTTGGCAGAATCATCTTTCACCTGCATAGCAATTTAAACATCCATCAGCCATGATAAACCAGTAACAACCCTAGTTATCAGCCTCAACAATCATAAAAGAAGCTTGTAAGCAATCCCGCGGCCCAAATGCAGATTTTCTTAGCTAAGGTTTTAATCACTAAATTACATATGTTTTGGAGCAATAACCTCACTGATATACCAACAGTTCTCTCATACTAATGAGATTTTGAGGAGGGAAGAGACCAAATGAATATTTAAATATGTAACAAGATTGTCTTTGTCCTTAGGAAAGAGAAGAACAACCACTTAGGAAGTCATAATGCTTAAAACAGGTTTTGAAGGAAATAGGCACAGTTAATGCAATCTGCATGAGCATGATCGGACCTTATCCATATATATTGTCTTATATGAATAACAATGACAATGTCAAAGATAATAGACAACATGCAAGCGCATAATAAAAACAGCACGTAGAACTGATATGAAAAAGAAGGCATGCAAAAACTGTACTAAAGACCAAAATAAATATTACTGGAGCTGAAAAAACTGACAAGGCATTATTATTCAGAAAATTCAACATATAAAAATTTCAAAATATAAACCACACAAATACCACTAAAGTCACATTCGAATCACTAACTAATAATCAATGTTTTCTGGTCTCAGAAATTTATAAGTTCGGCAAAAGCAGCTTCCAAAATACATTATAAGCAGCCCTTAGCATGATTCCAAATTTATTATATGATAAATATTTTACAGAAAGGTTTCTGATAAACAAAAATGTAGGTCAAAGAAAATGAGGAATGAGAACTCGCTCAAGATGAATCCACCAAAAATCAGAATACAGAGACAAGAACAGTCACAATTTCTCTCATAACTCAAGACAGTCCATAAAATTTTATTAGAAAAAATCAATCTGTACAAAAATTTTCTAGCACATCAAATTACAACCAACAATCCAACTCAACTCAACCATGTGAAATTCCAAAACTAGTTGAGCGAACAGACTAGAACAAGTAAATTTCAAAGAATACAGAATAAGGCACTGACCTCAGCCTTTGCATCAACAACCTCATGAAGCTCATATGGTTGTGAATTAGACCTCTGTTGGATGGTCTTGATAGCATGACTCGCTGCATCCTGAACTTGACGATCATGTATTGGCACAGATTGCCATCCTAGCTTATGGCCATATGATAACGAAAACAGAACACCAGCAGATGGTATTAACAAACACTTGGGGTTCAAACATTCTACAAGAGAAGAAGTTAACGAGAAGGGAGGCAACCATAAGGAAGGAAAATGGCACAGAACTTTATCATGTCTATGATTTTAATGAGCAAGATTGTCCTTTGTACTTCCAAAGTAACTGATTCTATAACCCAACATACTGAAAGAACCATTATCCAAGGTGGTTTATAATGTTGGGAACTCGGTTCCCGCAGATCGGCTCAGGGGCCTTTGCGGAAGTCAGTCAATGAGATCCTCGATCTCAGATCTCAGCAATACCTCGGCCTGAATTTCACCAGGTCGAGCAGCGCAGCGGAAAAATCAAAAACGAAAAACAGGAGAGAGAGGAGAAGAAGAGAGAGAACACAAGCAGTCTTAACGTGAGAAAACTTTTTCTAATGAAGAAGTAAAAACCCACGGGATCTAGTCCAGATCAAAAAACCACTATGAAAATAATGGTTACAAATGATCAGAAGTGGTTAACTCAACCTCTCCAACAATGGTGATAATCAAACCTCCCTAGAGATGTTTCAATCAAACTCTCTAGAGATCTCTCAAATACAAAGCATAAAGCTTTGCTCAAATCTCTCAAATTTTCTCTCTCATTCTCTTAACCTAGCCTCCACCCATAACTAATGACTATATAGAGGAGGTGAGATCTAGGGTTAGGGTTTTTAGGAAACCCCTCAATGGGCTTGGGCTTAGCATTGAAGGAGGAAGCCCAACAAATCTCCCCCTCCGACTTCAATGCGTCGGCTTCAGCATCAACCCGGCTCTTTCACAGCAATCTTCAAATTTCCTTGCTGGAACCGGCTTCGTCATCATGTCGGACCAATTTTAGTCAGTGTGCACTTTGACGAGTTCGAGCTCTCCACCTTCCACCACATCCCGGATCCAGTGATACCTCACATCAATATGCTTAGTGCGGGAGTGATAGGTCGAATTCTTCGCAAGATGGATTGCGCTTTGATTGTCACGACCCAGCTCGTACTTGTCTTGATCATGGCCGAGTTCCATGAGGAACTTCTTCAACAGCATCTCTTTGCTTGCCTCATTAGCGGCAATGTACTCAGCCTCAGTTGTCGATAGTGCAACACATTTCTGAAGTCTTGATTGCCAAGAGACAGCTCCTCCAGCAAATCTCATCAAATATCCTGTAGTCGACTTCCTCGAGTCGGCGTCTCCCCCTAAATCAGAATCCGAGTAGCCTTGCAACTCGGCTTTGCCTTCTCCAAATCGGAGACATAAGTCGGTTGTACCTCGGAGGTACTTGAAGATCCACTTCACTGCTTCCCAGTGCTCTTTGCCGGGATGTGACAAATACCGGCTTACCATTGCATACATCAAGCTTCCGACAACGGATTGGTACGGGACCTTCATCATCTCATCTTTGTCTTCATCAGATCTCAGACATTGCTTTTGGTTCAGCTTTATGTGTCTGGCAAGGGGGGTGCTCACTGTTTTGGCTTTGTCCATGCTGAATCTCTTCAGAATCTTCTCAATATATTTCTCTTGACTCAGCCACAGTAGCTTCTTCTGTCTATCTCGGATAATCTTGATTCCGAGTATCTGCTTTGCAGGGCCGAGGTCCTTCATTGCGAAGGACGAGCTCAACGCCTTTTTCAGGGCGGCTATCCTCGATTTGTCTTTCCCTACAATAAGCATGTCGTCAACATATAACAACAAGATCAAAAAATCTCCGGCCTCATACCTCTTCACAAATACGCAGTGGTCAGCTTCTGTCTTTTCAAACTTATGATCAGTCATGAATGATTCAAACTTCTTGTACCACTGCCGAGGTGCTTGCTTCAAGCCATAGAGACTCTTCTTCAACCGACATACCAAGTCTTCTTGGTCTGGAGCTTGGAATCCTTCAGGTTGCTCCATATATATCTCTTCTTCTAAATCACCGTGAAGAAATGTTGTCTTCACGTCCATTTGTTCTACCTTGAGGTCCATCGAAGCTGCCATGGCTAACACGGTTCGGACCGAGGTCATTTTCACCACAGGAGAAAAAATCTCCTCAAAATCAACTACTTTCTTCTGATTGCAGCCTTTCACTACAATCCGGGCTTTGTATTTCGGCTTCTGCCCGTTCTCTTCATTCTTAATCTTGTAGACCCATTTGTTTTTCAAAGCTCGTCTTCCTTTAGGCAACTCGATCAGCTCATAAGTCTGATTCTCGTGCAGAGACTTCATCTCGTCTTGCATTGCCTTTTTTATTCTTCTTTCTCTGAGCTCGTCACAGCCTCATCATAACTCTGAGGCTCACCGTCTTCAGCAACAACGGTGTATTCATCAGATGGGTATCTCGTAGAGGGTCTTCTTTCTCGAGTTGGATATCTCGGCTATTCTTCAGCTTGAGAAACCGGTTCATCATTCTCATCCCGGATCTCATCATCAACTCGGACATCAGTGTCTTGGTCATCCTCAGCTTGTTGTTGGTCATCAATTCCTTCATTCTCTTGATTTTCTCCCCCTGCTTCAGCTCGGACAGGAGGATTGGGTTCTTCACGTCTGACAGTAACCCGGACTTTGGGCTTCGAGATGTCATGAATGTTCTCATGCTCATGAAAGATCACATCTCGGCTTCTCACGATCTTCTTCTTGATTGGATCCCAAATTCGGAACCCGAACTCACATCTCGGCGAACCAAGATAAATGCATTCTTTGGTCTTTACATCAAGTTGAGCCCTTTCATCTTTAGGGATATGCACGAAAGCTCGGCATCCAAACACCTTCAATTGATTATAGGCCGCTTTCCGACCTGTCCGGACTTCTTCTGGAATTTCTCCTTCAAGTGGCCATGATGGTGAGAGGTTGATCAAGTCAATAGTTGTTTTGACGGCTTCTCCCCAGAATGATTTCGGCAATCCGGCATTGGACAACATACTTCGGACCTTCTCTTCAATAGTTCTATTCATCCTCTCAGCAAGTCCATTCAACTGTGGAGTCTTGGGGGGCGTCTTCTCAAGTCGGATCCCGGCCGCTCTGCAATATGCATCAAAAGGGCCGCAATACTCACCCCCATTATCAGATCGGACCACCTTCAATTTCTTGTCAGTCTCCCTTTCAACCATTGCATGGAATTCTTTAAAGGATTGGAGTACCTGGTCTTTAGACTTCAACAAATATACCCACACTTTGCGGGAATGGTCATCAATAAATGAAACAAAGTACTGAGCTCCTCCAAGGGATCTTTCCGACATGGAGCAGACATCAGTATGGACGAGGTCAAGAATATACCTGCGTCGTCTGGGTTGATCCGGTCTCACAAAAGAAACCCGGTGCTGCTTTCCAGCTAGACAATGTGTGCAACTCTCCAACACTTGGCCTTTCAACCCGGTCAGTAGTCCTTTCTTGTGTAGGATTTGGAGCCCTTTCACACTCATGTGGTCGAGGCGCTTGTGCCATAGCTCCAAGCTAGGTTCATCTCGGACAGAATTGGCTTCTCTGCCATTGATCTTTCCTTGCATCACGTACAAAGAGCCTTCCTTCTTACCTCGGGCCACGACCAAATTTCCCTTGACCAGCTTCCATCTAACACTACCGAAGTAGTTTACTAACCCGGCATCGTCAAGTTTGCCTATCGAGATTAGGTTCAAACGCATGTTAGGAACATGCCTTACATCTTTCAACACAAGTCGGCATCTGACATCCGTGGTCAGAGTTACATCACCGACACCAAACAATCTTGTTGGTCACTTGATTTCCCATCTTCACGACTCCAAAATCACCACCTCGGTAAGAGGAGAAAAACCTTTGTGTGGAGTAACGTAGAAGGAGGCACCAGAGTCAACAATCCAGGTGCAGTCATCATATGCAACATTCAAATAATTATCCTCACCAAGGAGGAATATCTCGGCATCCGGGTTGTCAGCAACCGCAGTGGTGCTCTTGTCTTCCCTCTTCTTGGGAATAATCTGATCCGGCTTCACAGAGCCGTTCTTCTCATCATTCTGCAGGGTCCAGCAGTCTAGCTTCTTATGGCCTGTCTTTCCACAGTAAAAGCACTTCAACTCATATTTTGACTTTGACCGACCTCTGGACTTTCCTCTTCTGTCACGATCTCGACCCCTGCTTTTGCTTCTACCCCGAGAGTCGGATTTCCCTTTGTTCTCAGCAATGTTGGCCTCAGACGTGCTCGAAACACCTCGTTCTCTTCTCCTGACTTCTTCGCTCAAGAGGCTGTCTGTCACGACATCCATCTTCAACTTTCCTTCTGGAGCTGAATTACTCAAAGTCACCACCAGAGTATCCCAGCTTTCTGGCAGCGAGCTCAACAGCAGCAAAGCCTGCATCTCATCATCAATGTTCATCTCAACTTTTGACAGCTGATTCATAATACCTTTATAGGTGTTGAGGTGTTCAATCATGCTCATGACGTCCTTGTATTCAAGCTTCACAAGTCGGCGAACTAGGTATGCTTTATTCCTGGGAGTCTTCTTCTGAATCATGGACTCCAGCTTCGTCCACAACTCATACGCATTCGTGAACTCGGACACGTGTTCAAAGAGGCTTTTATCAATATATTTCCTGATCGTGGCTACCACCTTCCGACTCAGGATCTCCCACTCCTTATCAGTTTTGCCTGTCGGTCTATCGTCAAGGATAATGGGCTCATGTAAATCTTTGCAGTAGAGATGATCTTCCATCATCGGTCTCCAATAGGTGAAATTATCAGTGGTCAACTTGAACATGTCTCCATCATTGGTTATGCCACTGGTCTCCATCTCGTCTCTCTCAGAACCCGTCGAACTCGGGCTCTGATACCACTGTTGGGAACTCGGTTCCCTCAGATCGGCTCAGGGGCCTTTGCGGAAGTCAGTCAATGAGATCCTCGATCTCAGATCTCAGCAATACCTCGGCCTGAATTTCACCAAGTCGGGCAGCGCAGCGGAAAAATCAAAAACAAAAAACAGGAGAGAGAGGAGAAGAAGAGAGAGAACACAAGCAGTTTTAACGTGGGAAAACTTTCTCCAATGAAGAAGTAAAAACCCACGGGACCTAGTCCAGATCAAAAAACCACTATGAAAATAATGGTTACAAATGATCAGAATCACCAATGTGGTGGTTAACTCAACCTCTCCAACAATGGTGATAATCAAACCTCCCTAGAGATGTTTCAATCAAACGCTCTAGAGATCTCTCAAATACAAAGCATAAAGCTTTGCTCAAATCTCTCAAATAATTCTCTCAAATTTTCTCTCTCATTCTCTTAACCTAGCCTCCACCCACAACTAATGAATATATAGAGGAGGTGAGATCTAGGGTTAGAGTTTTTAGGAAACCCCTCAATGGGCTTTGGCTTAGCATTGAAGGAGGAAGCCCAACATATAAACCACTCCCCGTTAAACCCGACTAGCGAATGTGGGGTGGAGGTAATCTTTGTACGCAGTTTTACCCTTGCATAATTGCAAAGATGTTGTTTCCTGAATTCGAACCCATGACCTTTCAGTCATGAAAGGTCCTTTATATATATTCTTGGTGGAAATTGCTTATGGATAAATAGTAGTGCATGGAAATCCCATGATAAAGAAAACTCAATGTATTCAAATCCTGGTGTTGCACTAAATATGAAATCATATATTCCTATAAAACATGAAACCATCCAATTTTTCATCGTTCTCATCTTTATGACTTGTTCAATGCATTTAGATTCAATTCAATGATAACACTTTATCTTCAATTAATTGGTCCTCACCACACTTTGAATAACCAAAACTAATAACACAAACTAAGTCCATTTAAACAACATTTCTAATGATGCAGAATAGTTTTGGCCTTTTGATAGCCTTCTGATCATTCAAATGCACCAAACATGTATTCCTTATTAGTTCTTATCAATTACCAATGCTTGACTACACTCTTTCAAGATGTAATATAGTAACGGTATGGATAAAACTCACTTGATGTATGCTAAATATGAATATTGTAGGAAGGAAAGACAAAATTCATATGTTCCACATAAAAACAATACAGAAACCATAGCACGACAGATATACTATTAGTACAATATCAATATTTGGGGAAAAGAAAAAGACATTAAATACTCGTATTAGATTGTTACTTTGTTATTCATATCAAGTGTTGGGTTTAATATGCTCTTTTCACTTAAGCCCAATAGCTTTAGTGAGAGTGAGCCCAAAAAGACTAATTTCAACCCATGAAGCTTAGGGTTAGTCTTGGATTGGGCAGAGTATATAAACTCTCTTTTCTCTCTAGTGCCTCCTAGGGTTACAGACATCAGAAACACAAAGAGGCAGACGTTCATCATCTGAACGGTTGCCCACACGACTCCCTGATCCCTTTGCCTGGAAGATCAACCGTAGAGCGGAATTGCGACCGTTCGTGGTGCGTTGCTACAGATCGTGAGGCTTGAGGAGGAGAACAGAACGTGAGAAACTATCACGCTCGCTGCTTCATCTCAGGTAATCAAAGCGGTGTTCTTCATTCCTCATCGCATCGGTACGATGCGCTTCCGCGTTTCTGATGATATTCCTTCAATTGGTATCAGAGCCGGATTGTGATGGAGATTTAGATCAGCTTTGATTTATTGATTTATTTTTGTGATTTTGAAAATATGGCACCTTTATTCTCTATGTGTTGTTGATACTCATGTTTTAATTCTTTATAGTTCATTTTCATAAAAGTTTAGATTTTAATAGGTAAAAATGTTTTAATCCATGGTTAGGGTCTCTCGTGTATTTCTCGATTTGTAACAAGGAGGCTAATCCCATATGATTAGATTTCCTCCTTGCTGTTTTTTTTTTAATTTTTCGGAATTTTTGTGTATTTTTCAATATTTTGTAAAAATTCAAGATCGAGAAACCGCGAGGAAGATGCGCAGTTAGAACTGTCGGAGACTTTTCGAGGACTTACCGATCTCAGAACGGGGCGATCTATATATGGTTGGAAAGAGGATGGAAAGACGAACGCAACGGTGGGTGGATCGCCGCCATCGGAGACTTGACGCTCCGCCACGCGCCTCCACAAGAGGCTGAGAGTGGCTGCCACTCTCCGGAAAAGAATGGGAAAGTGTGGGAGCGTCCGGCCACCTTTTTGGGTGGTTCCGGCGGCGGTGCACTCGTCTCTATGTGACGGTCCTTCCCCTGGAGTTTCGGCCTGATTTGACTTCGGGTGACGGCGCGGCAGACCTGACAGCTAGGGTTCCTCTTTCGCGTCCTAGGGTTTCTCGCCAAAGGATTGGGTCTTTGGGCTTTTGGGCCCATGAAACCCTAAAGGGGCTTGAGACAGATACTATGAGCTAGGCAAAAGTCGAATTCCAAAGTTGTATTATTTTATTTTATTTTATTTTCTTTAAAATAGGAAGGCTATGGATTAAAGTAATTATGATTTATTATTTAATGCTTTTATTGAATGATATGAATTATATGTGCGATTAACATGATATTTGCGATAACATGTCATATAGGATAGGAAGGTGCCATATTGCTGCATGTTCACATGTCATACGTGCATATTTAATATTATGTCATTACCGACTAGTATGATAGTTTATGTGCGTAGTTTTTGATTTTAAATATTCCGGTAAAATAAAATTATGATTATTATGATTTCGGAAACAAAATCTAGATTAATGGTTATATTAATTTCGAAAATTAATTTAATTATTATGATTTTGGTAAAATCTAGAATAATCAAATTGATTAATTTTGGAGTTTAAAATCAAGACAATTAGTAAGAAAATTTCCTAAGAGAATTCCTTTAATTTTGCAAGTAATTTGTGGGTCTACTAAAATGGTCATGTGTTAAACACACGCTGCATACCAAATTCATGTATCATGATTGTGTGAAGCACACGCTGCCTATCATGATCGGATTTTAGGACCTTAATGATTTCAAAATTCAGATAAGCTAAGTGATGCACGTTCATCGGCGCTCTTGCTTACATAGTTTTTAAAATCAAACAAAGGATACTCTCAATTAAATAATTCTTGGAAATTGGAAAATATTGCTTATGTTGAATGGAAGGAGATTTAAATTAAGAAATTAATTTAACCTTCAAGCGCATTATAAGGACCATTAATAAAATAATTATATGAAGTCCCATCGAATAAGCATGATTGAATTTTATTAGATTGGACCTAAATAATTATGGGAGGAGATTTAAATTAAGAAATTAATTTAACCTCCAGGCGCATCGTGGGCCTATCAATAAAATAATCATGTGAGGCCCCAACGGATTAGCATGATTGGATTTTATTGGGCCTTAATAATTTCAAAATTTTAATAAAGTATTGTACGACCCATCGTCGATAATACTAAGTTATTAAAGACAAATTTTGAAATTAAACAATGAATTCGACAAGGCTTATGAAAATTCTCAAACAAAAATGTTGAATGGGTGAAGTTTTTAAAAATTAAATAATTTTAAAACCTGCGGGCTCCATTTGTGGGTTTATTAGTGAAATGGTTATCGCTGAAGCCCCAACGGATAAGGATAATCAGATTTCACTAGATTAAATCTTAATAATTTCAAAATTTCAGTAAAGTATTGTACGGCCCATCGTCGGCAATGCTTAGACACTAAGGATAATTTTGAAATTAAACAATGGTTAATTACATTCAACTTTGGTAAAATTGTTAACCCTCCCATCGAGGCTCTGGCAATGGCACTGAAGGCCCAAATAACAATTTTGGTTTTTACAAGTGACTTGCGCATCGTAAGCCTTGTAAAGATAAATTGAAGGATTGTTAACAATAAACAAGAGTATTTATGAGAATCTACTTGCACTTCGTTTGTTTATTGCATTATTTGTTTGTATTTGTGTGCTTTATATGTTTTTCAGAAAATATCTTAGAAATGATTTTGAGTCGAAAACCTCTAGATGGTACCAACTATGAATAAGTGAAAAGCAAATTTTTGATATTGTTCTAAAACATGGAAGTTAAAATTTGTCCTGACAATGCGAGGGCCATAGCAACCTGCAGAGGATGCGTCTAAGGAAACTAAGATGCATTTCTCAGATTGGGAAAGGGCAGATATGGTAGTTCGCTACTATGTTATTGTCAGTCTTTCCAAATACTTGCAGAAGCAAGTGTACATGATTAAGAGTGGAGTAGAAATGCTTCAGACTCTTAATGACATGTTTGCTGCGTCTAGCAGTTCTGCTAGACAGAATGCAGTCGGTGCAGTTTTTGCTAAGAGTCTTGTTAAATCCAAGGGAAAACCCAAGGGTGGTAACAAGAACAAAATAACTTGGTTACAGTTGTCAAACCAGTTGCTATGAAAAAGCCGCAAGGCAAGTTCTTCAAATGCAGACTGAAGGGACACTGAAAGAAAAATTGCCCAGAGGTGATGAAAAGAACCAGACATGGGTATATTAAGGCCTGATCAGTGAATGAATCATTGATTCAGGAATCACTGATTATGTTTGTTACTCTTAGCAGTAGTTCAAACATGGTATGTCTGTCAGCAGTGGACAAAGATATTTTAAGCTTCAAAATGAGAACTTGTGTCTGCATTTGCAGTAAGACAAGTTATTTAATGACTATGGTTTTGGGTGACTGTTTATTTGTTCCGGATTTCAAGATGAATTCAATTTTTGTTAGTTGTTTTGGTTAAAACATGGTTTGACAATGCAATTGATTCCTCAGTTACATTTTGAAGTTCATCTTCGTCTTGTTTTATTCTGGTACATTGTTTAAATAGTCTTTATTACCTATGTCCTATACCCTTTTTAAATTTGTTATGTTGAATGGAAAGGATGATGAACAAGAACTTTCACCAAAGAAGACATTAAATAGTCTCTGATGATATTTGGGGGAAAGAAAAAGACATTAAATACTCGTATTAGATTGTTACTTTGTTATTCATATCAAGACCATGGATGTTTGATTTAGAAAATGCCAAACCTTTTTTGACACCATGATCTGCAGAGGTAAACGATGGCGCATGACTAACAAGCTTGAAGTCTTTGAGTTGTTTGAAGTTCATCCAGGGTTTCACCCAGACCTTGGCTTCATAGGTCTTCACCTCACCCGCATCAATAGCCTCAATAGTAAGAGTATGCCTCCTAATAGCAACTATATATTCATGTGCGTTCACCACCCTTTTGAATTCCAGATGCACATTCTTAAAAAAAAAATTCATTTCAACACGAATCAGCAATTTTTGTACACAAAAAATATAAAAATAAAAAGCATTCAAAAGCGTATTGAACATAAGACATGACAGGAGAGAGAAGAAGAAAAGACTAATGCAGTCACAATGAAAACATGTAAAACACTTGGAGCATTTTGGTACAAGAAAAAAAAAATTTTATCGAAAATCTCGATTTTTAAAAATATAATTTTTACATCCAATTTACGATAATATTCAAAAATTTAATTTTCTGAAAATTTCGGAAAAAATCTCGTACCAAACATCCCCTGAGAAGAAAGATCAGCACTCCAATTAATAGGCAAGTAGAATAGAGCAACCAATATAAAAAGGGTTGTATTTTTTAATATAACATGAGGAATATTATATTTACATACTTTTTGTTTACAAGTTATTAGAATATATTATGTGTTACGGTAAAATACTCTTGAGTGAAGTCTTATCAGTAAGACATAGTATAATTTGTAAAAACAAAAAATTGTCAATATAACACTTCTCATATAACAATAGGCAAAAATGCACTAGAACATACAAATTTTGCAATGTAATATGCAAAATAAACAAAACAATAGTGATTAAAAAAGATATAGTCTCTTGAGACATTATCTCATGTAACACATAAAAAAATAAATATAATTTATTTATTTATTTTCTCTTTTTTTTTTAATGAGTCTCATCCACTTTTATAAATATTGTATAAGACATTTTATGTCAAACAATATAAGAAATTATATTTCCTTTTAAAAAAAAATCAAAAGATTTTTAGCTTATTCCTTTTGTACAATCAACACGTCATAGGGTCCATAAATTAACTACCAACAGAAACGAGGATTGGGAATTTAAAACCAACTTACTTCAGCTTCACTAACACATACTAATATAAGCATGAAAATTTACTTCATTTCTACCCTTTACTGAAAGGAAAACCAAGTCTTGTATATTCTCAAAAGCATAATAATGGAATCGAGTAAGTAAATTGTCATTAATTAAATCAACCCCATCCTAAACGACACTAAATAAATAGACAAAAATTAATTATTTCTTTTTTTATTTTTGTTTTGGTAAAAAGAAAGACAAGAGAAGAAAAGACAAGACAAAAAGTTAGTTAAAGAACCTGTTTCCTGTTGTGCTCATCGACTGCGTATCGAGCAAGGTCTTCAATTTCGTCGATGTTCTGAGATGATTGCGAATAGCGCAGGCTTCCGAGCGTGGTCATGTTCGTATTTGGAACAGTCTCCGAACGATCCTTGAACAGAGAATAGAGCGAAGAGAAAGAAGAAGAACAAGGAACCGAAGAAGAAATTACTCTCAGTATGTTGTGTCTTTGTGTTTTAGCGGTTATATATACACACACTATCATAGTATTGGTTTGTCCGCGTCAGGCCATGGCTGCTCCAAATTTAACACGCCTTTCAAATCAATTCATGGCGGCATTCGGATCTCGATAATAAATAAATCAATGATTAATAATTAAAGTTTTTAAATCTTTTAACATGTGTGAATCGTATGACATTTATTAAGAATTTTCAATAAAAACACTCAGCATCTTTGGTGCATAGTATAGGATAAGACCTGATAGTATAAGATTGATTGTATAAGACCTGATTAAATTTTAATATTATCCAGCGTTTGGTATGATATTGTATAAGATAATATCCTCCAATATTTTAAAAATTAATATATTAAAAAAATTATTTTAATATATAAATATTGAAATGATATATTAGTTCTTAGGAATTGTACTTGCAAGCAATATTAATACGTCGATCCCTTATCATGTCTAATCCACCACTCTTAGGCCGGATTGAGTTATACATCATTTTGATGTATAAAAGGGTCATGCTGTATAAGCTTATACTATACGATGGTTACACCAAACAACTGCAAATGTCATAACTTATAGTATAATCTTATACTATCAGGCCTTATACATCACACCAAACATACCCTCAATTTTCATTCATCAAATCATGATTTTGTGGGTTGTAAAATAGAAGTGAAAATGATTTGAGTCACAAATTTAAATAAAGTCTAGTAAAATGTTTTGAGTCTCGTTTGACATACATTTATTAGTATTTCAATATTTATCAAGAATTACAAATATATATATATATATATAGGGTCAAGATTATTTTCCACCAGTATAAGTTACACTCTCAATCTTGTCCGTTGATCCCATTTATATATAAGGGCTCAAATTTTCTAGTAATGTAAGTCATTGGATACAAGTGGATCAATTGTCAAGATTGAGTGTAAGACTTCTAACTCTTACACTGGTGTAAGAATATCTACCACATATATATATATATGTATGAAAAATATTTGTCTTTTTAAATTACACAACTTATGACATTTCACTTTCACAAAGATGTGAGACCCACACATTTATTTTTTTTAGTCCACTCTCTCTCCCTCATGATTCTCTCACTTAAAATGACATAATTTTACATCATTTAAAATGACACACACTTTTCACTATATATATATGTAATATTTTTTATTAGTTAAAATTATATAAATATTTATTTTAGTTTTTTTTTTTTTTTGATAACATTAAGGGGCGAAGCCCCAAACAAAAACAAACAAACAATCAGAAAAAAAAATAACTATCCAGGGTCTATATCCCTACAAGAGGAGATTCCCTGAAGATCGTGATCAAATAACTGAGCAAGGTGAAACGGCAGTTTATTTTAATTAAAATAAATAATACTATCTAGGCCAGCATAAAGGCTAGTAAGTCAAACCTTATAAAAGTAAGCATACAACCTATTTTCTAAATAAATTATTTAAGATCTAAGCTTATTCTATTTTATTAAATATATTAGGTCAGCTTTAACTTGTCGTAGACCCTTAATAGGTTATTTCACCTATTTATAACCCTTGTTATAAGTATTCCTTATATAGATGAAACTAAAAGCATGAAAGTACACAGAGAATTAAACTATTAACTATTCCTTAACTTCATAAATTGATTTGCCTAGAAACTAGCTTTATAAAGAGTTATGTTGCTTAGAAAATACAATAAATAATAACAACTCCCAAGAGTTATGTTGCTTTAGAAATACAACAATTATATGCCAAAGTCTAATTAGCTTAAGCATGAATGTTGTTGTTTTTTTTTACCATCCTTCATAATTGACCCATTAAGGGAGTCAACTACGCATAAGTTGTCCTAAACATCTTGAGAACCTAATTGAAATTGGACTTTTAAACTAGTATACAAACTTGCACAACTTGGGCATAAAATTTGATCTCCTCTAATCAAACTTAGCATATTTGTTCCTACATTATTCTTCTCTCCTTGAACTCAACAATTTTATTCTTTTTCCTTCGCATCGCAATTTTAACATGGTAACAATGTGTATTCCTTTCACCCTCAATAATCCACTTGCTTCTAGATTTTTCTTCCAAAACCTCTTCTGGTTCTCTCTTTAATCTTTTCTCTAGAGCTTCTAAGTGCATGTGGCCATGTTGTTGGCGTGTAAATAACACCTTAATTAACACAAGTGCATGTTATCAACAAGTAATACAAGATTTATGAGTCCAAATATCGTTCCCAAGGAGATGATTTATAAAATGTGGTGTTCGAGTAAAGTAATGGGAAAAAACTTTGATTTTATGCTTGATTTGTAAAATAAAAGGCAAGTAAACGAAAAATAATTAACTAAACTAATTAAAATAGCAAGTGAATTCAATAATGTTCCATTGGACCCTAACTTCACCCATTGACCCGTTGGATCTCTCTCACGAAGCCTCCAATCTCCTCCAAGTGTTCCTAGTGTTCTTCGTAGCCTCCAACTTTTTTCTAGCTTAGTTTGAATGTGCATAGGCCTCTCTATATATAGAAAATAATCACTTGGCCAAACAACTCTTGAATTCGAATTCCCTTAGAAATAACAGTTTTAGTGTAATTAAGATTTGTCATTAAGCTCAGATTTTTCCTTTTGATAACTTAATTTTCAGATTTGATAGGACAGATGTCTTATCCCTTAATTTGCGCAGCCTCCTAATCCTTATCAAGTGTTGTACCTACCTTATCTCCATGTTTGAATTTGCACAGCCTCCTAATCCCTTAAAAATAATGATTATTGTTTTTTAATTCCATTTAACAAGTTTTTCCTCCCTTATTTATGAGATAAAAAACTTGAAAAATTAAACAAATAAAAAGATTTTGATAGATGAAAAGTTGAAGATTTTAATGTTTTAGATTTTATTCTTTTAATTATAAAATTTAATCAACCTTTATGTATAACTTTCAGTAAAAGTTCTTTATTATATATATATATATATGACTTTAATGTTTCTACAGTAGATAAGTTATCTACATTCGCTCCAAAAATGATGTCGTTTTAGTTTGAAAAATTAAAAAGTTACAATAAAAAAGATTATTATATCCTGAAATAAATTATAATTACAAAAATACTTTGATTTTCACCTCAAAACGACGTTGTTTTGGGCTCAATGTAGATAAGTTTTCTACATTGACGGTAAAAAAAATGAACCCTATATATATATATGTATATATATTATTAAATGGGTAAGGTGTGTATCATTTTAAAGGATGTAAAGTTGTGTCATTTTAAAAGAGAGAAATAGATTGATAAAGGAGGAGAGAGAGTTGAGAAAAAAAATAAAGATGTGTGTTCCACTCCCACCTCTTTGTGAGAGTGAAATGATATAAGTTGTGTCATTTAAAAGGATAAATATTTTGCAAGATAGAGGGCATGAATAGGAACTATATCACTGTTGGCTCCTAATATAAATTTTGTGATACCCGTACCGTATGAGCATACTTTAATAATAAATTATATGAAAGGTTTAAGGGATCTCATATGAATAAAACATAATTTTATTTGATATACACGTATAAAACTGGGAGGATTTCATTTTTTTTTCTCATATGCAGGAGAAATATTAATGCCTTAAACCAAAGACAAATGCATAAATTAACATTTTTTGAGATGACAAAGAATAACAAGAATTTTAAGCCTTGAAAAGACGATTAATTTTTAAATTTTAGTATGTAATCATTTTAACTTTTGAAATAACAAATATAATAAAATAAAATTTACTCTCTGAAACTATTTTGAAACAGATATTATGTAAAAATAGATGATTGTGGTGGTTCATCATTAATATATAAATAAATAAATAAATTATTAACAATTTAATGGCAGCAGCTCCAAGAATTGAATGATAGGGTGTTTAGCGCCAAAACCCAAAAGCAAGGGTGTATGGACTGTGGAGTACCCTGTTTTTTGAAAACGTGATTCTCTTCTGTCAAAACTCAAATCAAGGGATTTGATTTTCACAAACGCTCGTAAAATCGTAACGCTTGCCTTTTCTGAATTATGATTTCTTCACATTTCTTTCTTTCTCTCTCTCTCTTTCTCTGTTAGGGTTTCGCTTCGTGCTTCATTCTCGAGTTCTTCCTCTTCTTCTTCTCATTCGCAAAAAATGGCTGCCATTCCTCATTCCTTCTCTCCTTCTCGAACCACCTGCGCTTCTCTCCTCCGTCAATTGCAGGTTGCGCTTTCAATTTTTTTTTTGTAAATTTGAATTTCTTTGAAATTACAGAAATTTGAAGAACTATTTTGCATCAGCCATTTTTTCTATTGATAGATTTTGTTGTTGTCGTTGTTGCTGCATAGTTTAGTTATACCTGTGATATGTTGAAGTGTTGATAGATACATACATGGAATTCGAATAGTGTAACCTTTGGTGTATGAATTGATGATCTAATGTGTGTTTTTTGTAGATGATATGGGATGAGATTGGGGAGGGTGACAGTGATAGAGACAATATGCTTCTTCAACTGGAGAAAGAATGCCTTGACATTTATCACAGAAAGGTTGAGGAAACGAGAAAGCACAAGGCTGATTTATATCAGTCGTTGGCTGATGCTGAAGCTGAAGTCACCAATCTTGTTTCTTCTCTCGGGGAATCTACCTTGTTCTCACGGGTATGTTGGTTACGTTGCCATTATAATTTGCGTTGTTGCTATTGCTGTCAATACTGTATCCTTATGCACCGTTTTGCAATGAAATTTGTGTAAGAGAATGCCACTTGGCGTGTGTAGTTTGTTTGTTTTAAATCTATTAGCATTGTGGAGGGCTACAATTTGTCCTTTTTCTTCTTCTCCTTTCTCTCTCTCTCTTTCTGAAAAAAATTTTAAAATTTAAAAAAAATAATTGATTTTTTAAGTATTTATGTTTTTATTATATTAATTTTTCTTATTTATTATTTATTTGGGTTAATCAACTGCTGACCGTAACTAGTCAGGAATGAATTCGAGATTGTTCTTGTTATCTTTCTTTAATGGAAATCAAAACATAATTTTAGCATATACCAGTTACTGTCCTTTTCCACATTAATGAGATAGAGGATTATCTAGTCTTAACTTTTAATAATGGCTGTACGGGAGGCATGGATGTCCCTTATCTGCATAGTAATTTATCAAAAGTGAATTTTACAAATGCATTCTGTGTTTCTAAGATGCTAGTTCCTTTAATTTTCAACATTATGTTTGCTTTAATCACAATGACATTGTATGAATAATTGTTTCCATCTATTTTGAGTTAATTACTACCATTCCTGGTCGATGATTCAAAGATTTCATGTTTTTGCCAGTGCAGTTAGCACTGTGCTAATTGAATTAGCAAGATTTCAACTAATTTTGTTCTGCCTTTGAAAGGGGAAGGGCTCTCTTAAGCAGCAATTGGCTACAATAAAACCTGTCTTAGAGGACTTGAGGTCAAAGAAGGATGATAGAATCAAGGAATTTTCAAAGATAAAGTCCCAAATTTCTCAGATATGTGCTGAAATAGCAGGCTGTGAGCAGTCAAAAAGTGTCACAGATCCAGAAGTTGATCAATGTGATCTGACAGTGAAGAAATTGCGGGATCTCAAATCACATCTCCAAGAGCTTCAGAATGAAAAGGTTCTACCCAATTTAAAATATAGTCATAAAAAATTGGTAATTCCAGATTTCTTTTAGTTTCTTTTTGGTTAATGTTGCTTCCTTTCTATAACATGTCAGATCTTGCGCCAGCAGAAAGTGAAGAGTCATATCAGTATTATTTGCGACCTTTCATTAGTAATGTCAATTGACTTTTGGAAGACATTAAATGAAATTCACCCAAGCTTGGGTGATTCATTAAAAGGTACACCACAAAGCATCAGCAACGACACTCTTGCCAGATTAACTGCGGTTATTCATTCATTAAAGCAGGAGAAGATACAAAGGCTACAAAAGGTGACTTATTCTGATCTAGATAAATAGTGTGAATGAACTTATAGTTGTGTCTGCATTTTTATGTACGTTCCTTACTTGTGCAAGTAATGGACGCATATCATCTGATTTGATATACAGCAAATGATCACTTTAAAGTTGTATCAGTAGTTCCTGTTTAGTTTTAAATGGTTAATATAATAGTACCTTAGGTTCTATATTTCTCGCATTGAATTATTTTTCATGTGAATTGTTTTGCCAATTGCAGCCTGAGAGTTCAGGTTTGTTGTTTGAATGGTTATTTGCGCGTCAATATTTTTATTGGAGATATCTAGTTGAGTGAATTGAACTTTACACACGTGCCTTTTATTCATGGGCAGTCAATTATGCTCTGCATTTTAATTTCATATGTGCTTGCAATTGAAGCTTGGATTTTTCTTAACTGAGCAGCATTACTTATGATACCCAAGCAACATTACTTATGATTGGCTAGTGTGTATTATACTCAAATAAGTTTGTTTCCAGTCAGCTTGGGCTAACAAGTCACTACCAGAGTACCAGATATTCAATCTTGACTAGTCAATGTTGGGTTAAGGACAGAGGCTTTAAGCCTATTTCTTAGGTTGTCATATGATATGAATTGTATGTGTGTAAAATTGTACATGTAATTTTGAGACTTGAAGAACTAGTTGTATTTGCAATTGCATGTGCTTTAAGCAAAACTACATTGATTCCACCACTTCCCATCATCCCCCGACTAGCGAGGGTAAGGGTGAGGACAATATTTGTATATAGCCTTACCCTTACATATTTGCAAAGAGGCCAAAACTACATTGATTCAATGTTAAAAAATCCATCTAGCTGGTTGAGCTTTTTCTAGGATTAAAAATGTATCAAACACGAGGGCTGAATCCATGACCATTAGTGTCTCAGTAATTTTATTTACAATATGAATGAACTTACATCATATGGTCTATCCAGCATTATATTCATTTGTTGTTGTCACTACTCGCTTGCTCCTTATCTAATAACTGGTTGGAAGAATGACAACAACCAATTCTACGTTTTAAAATTTAAACTTATTTCAGCCAAAAGTGGATGTGAAAGGGTTGGCATTGAACTGCCGTAGTTTTTGATACCCTAAAATCCTAAATTTATTGCAGTTGCATAACTATTTTGATTTTTCTCATATTCTGCTTTGGATACAATTGGAATTGGGAATAAGTTGATAATGTAGTTAGAACAAAGTATATAGTAAAACTTCCATGTTTATAACAAAATTGAAACTTCTGTAAAATGTTTAAGGCGAAATGAATGAAATTCTTGTTATAACTATTTTTCTTTACAATTGACGGGAGTCTTTTGTTGAAGGGACTGAATTTGCTTCTTTTTCTATGGCTTGAGGAATGTAATCATGCAGTTGAAAGGTTATTATTGCTTTTGTCTATTCAAACTATTGAAATATAAAAAGAATTGTTTTTTCCTTAAATGATTTACACTGATACGGAGATTTATACAAGAGAGAATGAGAAAGAATTGATAAGGATGACTCAGCGATGAGTCAGTAGTCTTATTCACTAATTAATAGAAAATAAAAAACGAAAATATTTTTAATTCTAATTTCCTACACTCCCCCTCAAGTTGGGAGGTAAATGTTGATCATTCCCAACTTGCCAATCAAGTCTTCAAAGGCTGGATGGTGTAGACCCTTAGTGGGAATATCTGTAGTTTGCTCTTTGGTAGGAACATACATCATACGCACACTTCCATAAAGAATTTAGCAAAATAATGCAACTCAAAAGTCAGCTTGCTAATGAAAATGAGATTGCAAGCCAGAGAAAGAATATGAAGAATTGATGTTAAATTAATCTGCTCAGAAAGTTTAATGGTTCCGTGTCCTGCAATCTGGGAGAAACTGTCGTCGACGATCTTGACCCGAGAGGGTTCAGAGTATTGAGTGTAAGAACAAAACAAGGTCGGATTACCTGTCATATGGTCAAAGGCTCCAGAATCAAGGATCCAACAATTTTGACTATTAACATGGAAAGTTGTACCTTGCTGGGCCACATTACTAGTGGCCTTAGGAGGTTGAGTCAGAAGTCTCTGAAGTTGTTCAAATTGAGTCTTACTGAGAAACACACCATTAGAGTCAGAGGATGGACGAGGCTCATCAACCTTGTCATCAGTAGAGACCTGTATGCATGACCTTTATTCTGCCTTTTGGCTTCCAATTTGCAGGTTTTCCGTGGATTTCCCAATATTTCTCATGGGTATGACCAATTTTATTGCAGTGGGTGCACAATGGATGACCATCCCGTTTTGATTCTCTAGAGGAACGGTCGATGGTACGTTTGGCAGCCAATGCAGACATATCATCAGACTTATCAATTGGTTCCTTTTCTCCCAGCATAACTGTCCCTTTACTAGCTTCTCTCCGAACTTCGGCAAAGGCATCAGCAAGCGAGGGTAACGTTCGCTATCCCAATATTCGACCACAAACCTCATCAAGATCTCGGTTGGGGCCAACAAGGAAATCATAAAGTCGTTCCTTCTCCAAGTGTTTTTTAAACTGGGTATTAGCTTCCAATCTTTCAAGGTCGGATGCATAATAAAGATCCAGTTCCTGCCACAAATTTGTTAGTGTAGTAAAATATTCAGTAATGGTCATACCCCTTTGACGAAAGCCCCTCAACTTATTTCTTAGTTCAAAGACTTGAGAGGTATTCTCCAGATCTGAATAATTTTGTTGAACAACATCCAAAATCTCCTTAGCAGTATTAAAGAACAAATAGGTTTGGTCAATCTGTGGTTCTATGGAATTAGTCAGTCACGCCATTACCAAGGAATTAGTAGTCTCCCAATTTTCATAATTAGGAGCATCCTCAGCAGGTTTTTTAATTTTTCCCTCGAGGTAACCCATCTTACCTTTTGCCCGGATGACTAACTTACAGATTGAAACCATTGCAGAAAATTCTTACCATTCAACAGATGACTAGTGATCTGCATACCTAAGTTGTCTCCAGAGGACTGAAAATTTGAGGCAGATGAGGAAGCAGAAGAACGATCTGAGGAAGCCATGAATAAAGATAGAAGGTTTGACTGTGGACCCAAAAAATCAAGTTGCTCCGATTTTAGATTTAACCACTGGAATAGGTAGAGAAAGAGTCGATGAGATGATCTGGGCAGGTCGCGTCATAAAAAAAAAATCCGAGAAGGTGGTGCGTGTAGCGAGTGACCGCGTGTGTGGAGGAGCATGGCGGCGCGTGGGATGTCCGACGGCGATGGGTCCGGTGGCGTTCAACTCGTCGGAGTCTTTTGAGTTGAATGGTTACTCCACCTTCTCGATTGGAGGTTTGTAGGTATGGTTTCTGAGATTTGGTAGAGGTTAGTTTGTGTTTGGATGATTTTTTGATAGTGTTTGAACTGGTTTCAGCCTTGAGGGTGGCTGATCTAGGGTAGGAACGAACTCGCTCTTGATACAATATTGAAATATAAAAAGAATTATTTTTTTCTTAATTGATACAAATGATTTACACTGATAGGGAGATTTATATAAGAGAGAATGAGAAAGAATTGATAAGGATGACTTAGCAATGAGTCATTAGTCGTATCCACTAATTAATAGAAAATAAGAAACGGAAATATTTTTAATTCTAATTTCCTACACAAACATATAAAAATGAATTGTGTGCCTAATTTTGTTATTGACGCATAACTTTATTTAACTGGTTCTTGAAGATTCATTAATCTAATTTTACTTTCTTGTAGGCACAAGAGCTTGCTAAATTCCTGGTAGAGCTGTGGGATCTTATGGAGACTCCAATTGATGATCGAAAGGCCTTTAGCCATGTTACTAGACTAATTTCAGCATCAGTTGATGAAGTGTCAACACAAGGGTGCCTTTCTGCGGATGTCATTGAGCAGGTGAAACTTTGACTTGAACTTACCTTGCAATTGTTCATTTGCGAAATTTGAGTTTTAGTTGGTCGATTATTTATATTTTGCAGGCTGAGATTGAAGTTCAGCGCTTAAATGTTTTGAAAGCCAGTAAGATGAAGTATTTAGTGTTTAAGAGACAGAATGAGCTTGAAGAGATCTACAGAGGAGTTCACATGGATGTGGATAGTGAAGCCGCTAGACAGATTCTGACTAGCCTCATAGAATCTGGTACAACCATCTTTCTTCTTTCTTGATTGAACCTAAATTATTATTGAACTTAGAGTTGAGTCGGAAACTTTCCATGGTGTTGAGTCGGTGAACTTAAATTCTTCTTTGTTTTATTTGTGATTTTGTGAATGCTAATGCTTACAACCATATTTTATTTTCCTTAACATTCCCGTGTCATTTTGCAGGTAATATTGATGTGTCTGAATTGCTTCAAAGCATGGATGATCAAATCAGAAAGGCCAAGGAGCAAGCTCTAAGCAGAAGAGATATCTTAGATAGGGTTGAGAAATGGAAATTCGCAGCTGAAGAGGAAAAATGGCTAGACGAATACGAAAGGGTAGATGATTTTTTTTATGTTAAAGTTTATTATTCTTAAAATAAGCCATAAATTAATGCGTTTGAAATGTATTACCAAGGAGAACAATAGATGCAAAGTAATATATGTAAATATTTTCATTATGGTTCCTAAATCTATGCGTTTGAAATGTATTACCATGGAGAACAATAGATGCAAACTAATACATGCAGATTTATTAGGCCGAGTCTGTGACTTCATGTCCCTTTAACTAATTTTACTTAAAAAAGTAAAAAGGCAAACTAACGACCGTCATAAGCATGTAGGTTACTAGATTTTGATTATTTCTTGGTGATTCTTTGCAGTTTATTTGGTCATTTTTAGATATAAAATTATTTTTGAACTTTCACTTAACAACTTAAGCTTTAGGGGAGTTGGTCTTTGATATGATACCAGGAGTTTGATCCTTCTTTTCCCGCTGAACTTAACACATTGAACTTTGAAAGAGTGAAGATTAAGTCACTTTAAGAAATTACTAGCGTTTATTGATCAATAAAAAATGCCCTTTATTTGTTATATTCTGCATTATTTTGTAGATCTATTGAGATAATATCGGCCTTTGCATCATTTGCCTTTTCTCCTCTTTTCAGGATGAAAATCGATATAGTGCCGTACGAGGAGCACACAAAAATTTGAAGCGTGCGGAGAAAGCAAGAATTCTTGTCAACAAGATACCATGTGAGTCATTATTTTTTTTTTAAATTTATTTTATTTTATTTTTGCATTTACATCAGTTTGTGACAATGTATAATTCTTATGATAGATAATTATGCCTTCATGGTGATGGGAAAACTACGGAAACTAGAAGCTGCATATGCTTGAATAAGAAAGCTATAAAGATGTTAGTTGTATTTAAATCATATTAACTATGAACGTAGTGAGATATTAGACCAGTGTAAGCTGTGGACAAGCTTGAGTGAAAAACGACTCTTCATAATTTGATAGTAGTTCCATGGATCATTGATAGTATTAGTGAATATAGTTATATTATGTGGTCATCCTTTTTCTTATTTTTGAAGGGCAAGAAGTCCCACTCACCAATATCGAATTATATCTGACCAATAAGTCTCTCTCTCTATCTCTCACACACACACACCCAGAGAGAGAGAGAGAGAGAGTTCTTTTTTGAGTTTTTCCAGATTTCCAAATATTGGACCTGGGATGGAAATGAAAGTCAGTTAATAAGTCAAATCCTTAGTTTTATGTAGAATCACTCAAGTTGGCTGTTTAGCATAATTAGGTAACACGCAGGCACAAACACACATACAGATAAAGGACCGGCAATAAAGTTCATTTGAGAATTTTTTTTTTATAAAATATAAGGACGAAGTAGCTCTAGGTTGTAACTTGTAAAATTCTTCCTGCTTGTTTTCATTGGTTTAATACTAACTATTTTTCAAGAATTTTTACTGAGCAGCTATTGTTGAGAATTTGACTGCAAAAGTAAAAAACTGGGAACTGGACAAAGGAATACCTTTCTTATATGAAAAGGTGATGACCTATATTTTTTGTTTTTGATTGCGACTTGTGGAAAGGTTAGTCAGATTCCAAATAAAAATGTTATTTTTCAGGTTCCATTGTTACATAGCTTGGATGAATTTAATGTACAGCAGCAACTGAGAGAAGAGGAGAAGCGCAAATATCGGGTATCACTCTTTTTTCTCGTAAACCTACCACTTCAATATCATTGGAAAAAGTAAACTACTAATGATTTATTTTAAAGATATTCGGAATAAAATTAATTTTGATTTCCCGGTAAGGACAATTGCATTACTGCATATCTTGTTATTGCTGATTGCTAATTGTATTTGTACATTGCCTATAATCATGTGAATTGTCTTTGATGCTCATGTATGTCGAAATACTCTATATCTTCCACATGGTTAATGATGTCATTGTTTAAATTGATTATTACTGCCAATTTTTGTTGTGGTCATGTTCTTCATTTTATTCAGTGGAAAATTTTGGGTAAGCATTTTTTGGCCAAAATTGAAAGGTCACGGATTCGAATCCAGGAAACAGCCTCTTGCATAAAAGGATTGCTATCACCCTACTCTCGTTAGTTGGGGTTTAATCGGGAATGGTTGCTAGGCATTAAAATGAATAAAATGACAAATGCAGAACATGGAGTTTAAATTTTTGAAATATTAAACAAAGGGGACAAGCAGTGCATCCACCATATCTGTTTCAAAGATCTCAATCTAATCTATCATTTTGTGTACCAAAAATTTTCAAACAGGTATGAAGCTTTTCTTGGTACTAGAAAGTTGGCTGCAATCCTTTGCTTTATGTTGTGAGAAGTTTTGCATTTTGTATTTGTGCATGTTATACAATCCTTTACTCATGTATTATTGGACACTTTTTCACCAATTCTTAAGGAATTTGTTATGGAGTTGAATTCATATGATACTTGGTTGTTTTCAATTTTTCCATCAAATGTAAAGTTTTGGTTACATAACTTGTTCTGGTATTCTTAACAGGAGCAGAAACGGCAGCAGGAACAACATGCTGTAGAGCAAGAAGCACTTTTTGGTTCAAGGTCTGCTACAAAGAAGCCTCTGGGTCAGAGCACAAATGCTAACACTCCAGTTGGGACACCAATTGGGCGGCGAATGCTAACTCCTTCAAGCCGTTATGGAACCTTGGGTGGAAAGGAACGTGGAGAAAGTGGCAGAGTGAATAACATAGCTCCAGTGAACTATGTTGCTCTTCCTAAAGATGATTCTATTTCTAGGGGCAGTTAAGGCTGCCCACATTAGACTCGTGTAAATCAGTTATCTATGTCTAACATGCTTTATGTTTCCTTCTGAAAATTTACATAAAAGCTTAGCTCTCAGCAAATAGAGGTTGATTTTAACTTTGGTGATCGATTGTAAATTGACAAGGCCTATTCTAGGCTTGATATAAAAAGATTGTATATGTGTAAAAAGAAAAAACTCATCCTTACTCTTTCATGTTAGTAGTTGTCTATCTCGGTCCTACAATTCTCGGTGACCTGCTCAGTTTTCTCCCCATCTGATCCAGTGCCAGTCATGTGCGACAGAAGTTTTGAGAAACCAAATGTGGCAATGTTTACATTTATTGCCGTGGAAAATGCTAGTTGGATTAAGGTAGTTTCAAGTTTTGCATAGTTAAAGAAAAGACGCGTGTTAACCATCAGGGCCTGTTCCGCTTGTTCCCTCTGTGGTTGGATCATCCCTCGTTCAAACAACTTATTACTGAGAATTGGAGGCACAACTTGAAGGCGCATGTTAACCTGCAACAGTTGGTTCCGGTGTTGCGCAATTGGAATACCAACACCTTTGGTATTATTGGCCAAAGGAAAAACGCCATTTTGCATAGGCTTAACGGAATCCAAAGAAGCCTAGAGCAAAGATCGTGTGATTTCTTGGAGGATCTGGAGACTGAGCTTCGGAAAGAGTTCGAGGAGATTCTTTCTCTGGAAGAACTCCTTTGGTTCCAAAAGGCGAGAACATATTGGATCAAATGGGGAGACCGTAATACTAGGTATAACCTTTTATTCAAAAAAAAAAATACTAGGTATAACCACACTCTAGCCATCACTAAAAGGAAGAGGAATAAGATTGAGGCGTTGAGGAATGAGGCGAGTATTTGGATCAAGGAGGAAGACAGGGTTAAAGGTATGGCTTTAAACTTCTACAAGAAGCTGTTCACTGAAGACAGGGGGCAGAGGCAGTGGAGAGTTACATTTGTCAGCTGGTCGCTGCTTGATGACACTGATTTAAGGATGCTTAGCAAGACTTTGTCCAAGGAGGAGGCCAAAGCTGTGTTTTTCCAAATGAGTGGCAACAAGGCCCCAGGCCCCGATGGTTTTTCGACAATTTTTTATCTAAGGAATTGGAAAACTATGGGAGCTAGAATTTTTGAAGACATGAAGCTGTTGTTTACACATCCGGAAGGCATTAAGGCCATCAATGACACACCTAGTCCTGATTCCTAAGATTGAGGCTCCTGAGAGCCTTGGTCAATTCAGGCCTATCTCGCTCTGCAACGTTCTGTATAAGGCTGTTACCAAAGTGATCGTTAATAGATTGAAACCTGCGTTGAAGAAGCTGGTTTCCCCGTTTCAGTCGAGCTTCGTTCCGGGCAGAAACATTCAGGATAACATTATCATTGCCCAGGAGCTAACACATTCAATGAATAGGAAGAGAGGAAACAGGGCATTCATGTCAATAAAAATAAACTTGGTTAAGGCGTATGACAGATTAAGCTGGAGCTTTATCGAGAAAGTTCTTATGGAGATAGGAATCCCTCCTTCTTTGGTAGCAGTCATTCAAGCTTGCATATCGTCCTCGAGTATCCAGATCCTTTGGAACGACAACAAAACGTGCAGCTTCTCTCTTACTCGTGGGGCGAGACAGAGGGACCCTATTTCCCCTTATTTATTCGTGTTGTGTATGGACAAGATGACGCATCTAATCGCTGAGCAGATCTGGTATCTCCCACCTCATGTTCCCGGATGATCTGGTGCTCTTCGGGGAAGCCAGCCTGGATCAACTTGATGTCATGCTCGGATGCCTTCAGGAGTTTAGTAGCATGTCTGGTCAGGAGGTGAGTATCGACAAGACGGTGATCTATTTCTCTAGAAATACTAGAGCTGAGCTCAAGGAGTCTATCTGTAATGTTAGTGGGTTCAAGACAGCCGATTCATTGGGGAAGTACCTGGGGACAATCCTCCACAATGGAAGGGGTAGGAGAAGAAAGTTTGAGGGAGTTATCCAAAGAGTGAGGCAGAGACTAGCTGGTTGGAAGTGCAACTTCTTATCGTTTGCTGGCAGAACAATGCTGGCAAACTCAGTTTTAAGCACCATTCCCTCCTACCATATGCAACATGAGGCTCTGCCTGCAGCAACTCCAACGAGCCTTTATATTGGGGGACTCTAATCAAAGGAGAAGACCTCATTTACTTGCTTGGGAAAACCTCTAGACCAAGAAATGCGGGGGTCCAAGCCCATAATGAAGCTTTTCTGTATAAGGTGGCGTGGAAAATTCTGAACAATGGGGAGGAGCTCTGGGTTAAAGTCTTGGGAGGGAAGTATGGCAGAAAGCTGGACTAGAGAAGACAAGTGAAAGCTCAGAGCTATGACTCCAGCCTGTGAAAAGGGATATGTGGTATCTGGGATGACTTTCTGAATAGGCTGCAATGGGACATAGGGAATGGGAAGGATACCCTCTTTTGGCAGGATCGGTGGACTGAATTGGACATCCCACTGAATTTGTTAACCAATAGGCCACTGGATAATGCAACACTCCAACAAAAGTGTGAGGATCTGATTGACAACACAATAGGGGAGTGGGACACCAATATGATTAAACGTTTTCTCCAAGAGGATGCTGTGCAGATTATTCAAGCTATTCCCCCTCCCAACCTTAATAAAGAGCAGGACCAGCTTATCTGCAAAAAGGAATTGGGTGAGGGTAGAATGGTGAAGAATGCTTATAAGGCAATTATGGGATTCGAATATTTAGCAACCAATCCGAAATGGAACTCGATTTTGAAGTGGTAGGGTCCTCTAAGGTTGAGATCCTTTGCTTGGTTTGTGTTTCATGATAAGCTTCTCACAAAAAATAGAACCTCAATGTGGGGTGGTGATGCTTTTTGTCATAAGTGCTCATCCACGGTTGAAGATACTCTCCACGTATTGAGAGATTTCCCGCTAGCAACGCAGGTGTGGAAGGATTGGTTTAACAACATGATCCCAGGAGATTTCCACACTCTAAGCCTGGACGAGTGGCTGCTGAAGAACATTGATGGAGGATGGAACTGCAGGTTCAATTTCAGATGGGTAGATATATTCATGACCACGATTTGGAATTCTGTGGTATTGGAGAAATAAGGAAATGCATAATCCCCATGAAAGTCGTCCGCATAATCCAATCCTTGTTATTTCAAGGTACATCAGCGATATCATTTTAGCCATGGGAAGCAACCCGTTCCCCACTTGTTCAGCCAAGAGCGCGGCCATTGATAAATGGAGCCATCTTCCTCCTGGGTGGTGGAAACTGAACGTCGATGGGGCGGTTAAGAACACCTAGAGGGAAGCTTCGTGTGGAGGTTTAATTAGAAAGGAGAATGGGATGTGGGTGTCGGGGTTTTCGTACCGGATAGGGAGTTGCTCTGCATTGGTAGCGGAGTTATGGGCTATCATCAAAGGGTTGCAAGTGGCTTGAGAAGAAGGAGCTCATCAACTAATTGTGGAAAGCGACTCTGCCATAGTCATTGAGGCCATTAACTCGAAGGATGAAGAAGGTACTCATCCTTACATAGTTAACAGCATCACAGATTGGAGGAAAAATGATGGGCATATCAGATTCACTCATATTGCCAGAGGCGATATTGCCAGGTGGCCTTGGACTACCTTGGTTAGTTTTTTTTGTGTCTTGGGGCTTGGCCCTTCAGTGTATTAAAAAAAAAAAAAGAAGCGTGTTGTAGTCTTGTGTTGTATACTTTGTCTGTTATACAATGGTTTTTTGAGTGAAGAGACCTTAAAAAAGTTAAAGTAGCATTGGTCCTGCACCTAAGAGTGAAGGTAATTCCCATAGACTCTGACATATGAGAAAAAAAAATAATTAAAATATGGACTAGTTTTAAAACAATTCTGGGCATTATATCTTGGGATAAATCTTATTTAGAAAAGCTTCACTCCCTTTCAAATTTTCAAAAGTTATACGCTTCTTTTATACCATGAATATTGTTTTCTATATACTGCCATACTATTATGTATAGGTCTTTCGGATGGGTAATAGTAGCTTATTTCAAGCAAAACTATAAGGTGCTTTCAATCTTTCAAAGTTTTGTAGTCTTAATCACAACATTCATGTTATTTTTATCATAAATCGAATTAAACTAGTCATTGAGACATAAGAATGTCTTATTTAATGAGTCGAATGTTATGTACTAAAAAAAAATATTCTCGTGTTAAATGAGAGAAAAATTCTCTCATGCACTCATAATTTAGAAGAGAGAAAAAAAATATAAAGTGGACTCCACTTTTAATTTGTGAGAGTATAAGATAATTTTTTTCTTATGTAACATGAGAATAATATTTCAAAAAAATAAAATGAGTAAAAAGTTATAAAAATTTAGATTTTATTTTAGATTTAAAATAATTAATTCCCGCAATCACAACTAACAGCACTGTGACTACAAACACTACAATAACTGCAATCTAAATTTACAGCCATGCCTCTAGTTAACGAATTCTTTAAGATCAAATATATAATTTGGTTCCGAAAAATATTATTTATGTTGTTTTAATTTATAAATCTTTTTATATGTACAAATTAATTCTTAAAAAAAGTTAACAAGTTAAAAATTTTGATAAAATAATTTTATTTTCAAATTAATAACCTCGGATCAATTTATACTGATAAAAACTTTCAGAGACCTAGGGTGAGAAAATTGTATATTTGCTCAATTGTGATTTATGAATAAGGAATTGAGGCATGCTTGGGGCAGAGGGATTCTCAACACAACAATGTAAAATGGTTTGACATATATTATTAATACAAGAAAAGTCAAATCACTACCAGCCTCAGTGGAATCTGACTCAGGCGTCAGCAATTCTGCCACAAAAAATATTAATATGTAGTGAAAGAAACTCCACAATAACTACTATACCAATAACCATGAAAAAAAAGAAAAGAAAGAGATGGACGCCAGAGAGAGATACATAAACTTTATGATTATGAAAGATGGGAAAAAAAAAAAAAAAACCCCATTCCTATTCACATTCCTTATTGCTTAAGCCTTTGTCTCTTGGTTATGTTTCATGGGATCCTCTTGAATAGGCATGCTTAATACAACTGAAGAGACCTTGTTGTTGGCTTCAGTAAAATGATCTGTGGCATTAATCACTGGCTCACCCTTTAAAGGCAATGGAATATCATCTGCCACTTTGTTCTCTTTTCGTTCTTTGTGTTTTCCCCACAGGACAGAGTATAAGCCTATAATAATCAAGACGGCACCAATCACACTGCACCCACCAAGCCGAAAAAACAAATTCTTCAGTTAGTCACTTAGCTTTATTTAGCCTGATGAATGATGACAACTTTAAATAGAAGTTGGAATGCAAGAAACTGTTATTATTTTGATATTGATTAAGAAAATATTGATCCTTAGAGTCAATTTTAATATAAAGTATATGATTTGGAGACTATAAGAAAGTTTTAAAATGTTGTGACAATGAACCAAGTTAAAAATATTTTTATTAGATAGGGAATACTCTTATTATATACATGGGTTATATAACTTATATTAAAATTGCAGTTGATACGTATGTAACGAAACATTATAACTTACGATGTATAAAAATAAGATGTATAAAAATAAGAAGTCTTATATTCAATTTTGATTATTGATATACTTGTATCTAATAATTCATGTAACTAAAAAGTTAAACTCGTTAGGTATTAGTGGAATGAACAATCAAAATTAAGAGCGTAACAATTATATATACCGGTATAAAATAATCGTGATTCTCTAGGAATAGTGACTATTTTGCCACGCCTGACCAAAAAAATTACCAGACTACCTCGCCAACAGTAAATTTTCCCAGAATGTCACGTGGGATAATTCGCTACACTGTGTAGCGAAATATGCTTGCAAATAATTCGCTACACAGTGTAGCGAATTATGCAAGGTCAGAATGCACAGTCAGCAAAAATGAGACGTGTCAAGCAGGTAGTAATTCACTACCCTGTGTAGCATATTATGTTCGCGAATGATTTTTTGATACGTGGCACACTTTTGCAGGAAAAAGATGACGTGTCATAATTCGCTGCCACTGGTAGCGAATTTGGTCTGCAATATGACCACGTGTCACGAAATTATTCGCCACGAAATTCGCTACCAGTGGTAGCGAATTATGACACGTGGCAGTCTGGTAAAAAATACTGCTCGCGTGACATTTGGGTAAAAAATTTGACAAAATGTGATATTTTGATCAGTGTTCCTGATTCTCTATATATGTATATATATGCAAGGAGAATGGGAAAAAAATTACCCTCCAAGATAAATCTGCTCTGCAAGGATAAAGGAACCCATGATGGCAACTATGATCATCATTAGAGGGCTAAAGGCAGTTGCAAAGACAGGCCCTTTCGTCTTAATCACAAGCCCTTGTACATAGTATGATATGCTAGAGGTCACAATCCCCTAATAGAAATATTCAAAAAATAAAATAAAATTTTAAGAAAACAAGAAAAAAAAGGAAAACCAAACAAGACCCTTTACAATAAATTTAAAGGGAAGATGGAGTAAGTTCTTGTTCTTACAGCATAGGCAGCAGCAAGTAAGCTCATATCCCAGCCAATTCTCCACACAGAAGGATTGTGTTCCACAACAAAAGTAACAGCAACAGCTTGAAGAGTTCCTATGAAGCACACAAGTGAAGTGAGGCTTAGCTGATGATTCTTGTACGTTTCTATAGCTTTGGCCTGCCCAATAGCATCAAACATAAATGTCAATTACCTAACATAAACAAAAAGACACACTTTCTCACAAAAAAAATTGATAGAGATAAAGCCAAAAAGGTTAGCTCTAGCACATGTTTTGCTTTATGATGTCTTACTTGTAAAACAAAGAGGGAGGCCCAAGCAAGTGTGGCAATGATAAGGAAGAGACATCCTAAGAACCAATCTTTATCTGAGGATCCTGTTGTGCTTTTTGCATAGGTTTCATTGTGATGATGGTTATGTTTGGCCCATACCATCTCCACAATAGGTCCTCTGTATAAGGTCATCAACATTGCCCCAGCCACTGTCACTATTGTTCCCACTACCTTTGCTTGGCATCTCAGTTTCTTTATGTTTATCTTCTCCATCCTTTTCATATATTCCACCCATTAATTCAAAAAAATTAGCAATTCCTAGAGAGAAGAAAAAGACCCTTTTACAAAAAATAATAATAATCAGGGTTTTGGTTAATTTACCTGCATAAAATTGCCATAACAAAAGTCATGGCTGGAAGCATGTTGCTCATTGCACATGAGAAGGTTGGGGATGTGAGCTTCAACCCAGCATAGTAGAAATTTTGATCAATCACAGGCCTGTTTTTTTTTTTTTTTTTTTAAATCCAGCACAATAATAACCATATTAGTATATGCAACTTTTTTGTTTTCATATATAATAGAACTTGTAATTAGTGCATTAAACTAGGAGACTAATTAATTACCCGAGCAAAGCTAGGATGAAAATTTGCATGAAAATTGGGAATGTTATCTTTGGTTGACCTTTCCTGCAAAAATTGAAACCATGAATTAGCATTAATTTATAAAGCTTTATGTTAATAAAAATAACATGAAAGTTACTAGCTAGCTAGGGTGTGTATATATATATATATATATATATATATATATATGAGTTTATTAAATGAACCTTTCAAAAATGAAGGCAAATGGAGCGATGACAGCAGTTGCAAAGGCATGGCGATAAACCACAAGTACATAATGACTCATGCCTTGGTTAAGGGAAACCTTAGTGATAATGTTCATGCCAGCATAGCCAAATTGTAAAGAGATCATGGCAAAGTAGGGCTTAGAGTTTTCAAGGAATCTTGCACAACAACTAAGTTTTTCAGGGGCCATTTTTCTTCTCTTTTTGAGTAAAGGGAGTGTGTTAATCAATAAGAGAGAGAGAGAGATTGAGAGAGGAAGAACACTTGAAGAAGGCTTGTGTTTCTTCCTAAGAAATAGCATGGTAAGGAACCTACTATTTATATCAATAAGGAATCAACTGTTTTACGTCATTTACATGTACACGTATTATTGCAATGTCTCTCTTGCTTTTTTTTCTTTGTAGTGGGGTGAGCTTCTGGATCTCTTGGAATGGGGGGCAACTCGACAATGCATATGTTAATGCTTAGGTAGAAACATCAAAACAAAATAAACAACAACTATATATGATAATGGAATGAAAAGTGATTAACATAAAATGTGCTTTGTATAGAATAACGTTTTCAATTCAGCAATGTATCTTCTTTATGAGAATAATTGCCTTTCATAGTATTTCAAGTGGAATCGAAACATTTGTTTTATTATTCTCCTGTAGTTTTTGAGTTGTTTAATATCATGTACCCTATCATTCTATCCATTTTTTAAAGGATTTAACATTTCTATTTTTATTACATAAAATATTCATTTGCCACATAAAAGTAAGTGGGTCCCATTATTTTTTTTTCCTCTTTTATTTACAATGAAACTCGCTCACTTTTATATGATTGTGACAAATAAATATTTTCTGCACCAAAAACAAAAATATTTTTCTCTTTTATAAAAGAATCCCACTTCTTTGTGTAAGCATTAATCTCACAGTTTTAGCGGGGATACCCAATATTATAAATATATAAGTTAATCAATAATTGATATAGTTCTTACAATATAATTGACATGATTATAGAGCTCGCAAATTTGTAAAATTAAGTACACAGATAAGGTTATCGTGGCCAGAGGGCTCAAAATATATAAGTTGTTCCAATTTCGAATAACAATTAAAATATAATTAGTATGCATTAAAGTTTTACATTAACATTTGTTAATATTTTAATAAATTATTATTTATTACTTTTATTTCAATTAATGAATATAATAGTAATAAATATCAGTGTGAAACTCATTTACACTATCAATTCATATTGATTAACTTTTACCTACTATGATGTGATAATTATATAATTATAAGGTTTCCAGTATTGTTTAATCGTAATTCGTAGTGATCCCAAATCGCGATGATGCCAATCAATTTTGCTGTTTTAATGATAACGGGAATTGCTTGATTCCTGTCTTGATAAGAATCAATCAGCACCACATGTAAGAAGTGCCATGTAAAGGCATCAACTACATATTGTCTACATAGGAATAAACAAGTGTCTCTCCACTTGTCCTTGGAGTTCAAATCCACCACCAAGTACATGTATATTAATTGGTAAGAATTATTTTAGCTTATTCAGAATTCTCAAATTTGAATTTCTAAAATTGTGATTGTATAAAAATTTAGTATGGAGACCTTTGTCGCCCATATAATTATACACGACTCGAATCGAACTAATCCAATAATCTATAAACTGATGAATATCATTAAAAAAAAATTCGAAATCCAAAATTATTAACGAAAATCTATCTACTCTTGTTTACTAAATGCGAAATTACTATTCATTCGGTTGGACTTACTCATTCTTCTAATTTATAAAGAGTAACTAAATCAATGGTTTCCGGTAAAAGTGGCTTTACAAATTTTAAGATTTTTTATTTTTGTAGAAGTATTTTTGGAAACTTTTGATCTTTATGACACTCGAATCAAAATTAGGAAAACAATGTATATATTAAAAAAATAAAAGGAGGAGAAAGGGTGTCATATCTTATAATTCTCAATACATGTATAAATGTATCAAGATTATTTGTCTTATTTTATTTACTTTCTTGTAATTGCTTTCAATTATTAGTTTCTTTAACGCATTGTCTTTCGGTTGTTTTTTTTAATGCTTTCATTTATCTGTTTACTTTGTTTCATTATTGTCGAAGTGAATATCAATCTCCAACGGGATATGTTGAACGGAAGATTCTAAAATTTAAATCATTCTTTAGTTGTTTAAGTTGTTGAAATTGTATAGCTTGTTTGTAGGGATTATTTTTGTTATTTTTGACTACTAGTCTATCTGATAATAGGAGCTGAAAAATAGGAAGTAGTTGGTTACTGGTGTATAAATATACTCCTCTATTGAGGTAAATTAATATATAAGAATTGCATTTTAGAAGTCTTAGTTTATTTGACATGGTATCAAGAGCAGTGTTCTGATCCTGTTCCTTGTGTATCATATTGATCACAATTTTTTTCCCACCACCCACCCAATTTTCTTTCTTCTTTATTTCCTTCTCTCCATCACGTCACTTTCCTTTTCCACGCGTACGCCCCATATTTTTTCTTCTCATCCACGTGTCTGTATCCTTCTCACTTTCCCCAAATTCACCCTCCTAAATCCCTAATCCCCTTTCTCAATGGAACACGAAGACGAAATCCCTCCTACCCCACCTTCTTCCACGCCGGTACCCTCCTTCTCTTCTCAGAATATCATTCTTCAACAGGATAACTCTTCCCTCCCTGTCACCATAATTCTCGATGAAACCAATTACCATCTCTGGTCCCAACTGCTGGATATGCGCATTGGTGCCCGCAATAAGGGTGGCTTCCTTACCGGTGAAACTCCCAAACCGCCTCCTGATGACCCAAGCTATGCTACTTGGGTTACTGACAACAAGAAGGTGAAGGCCTGGCTCATTGATTCTATGAGCCCTCCTCTCATGCAGCGCTTTCTTCGTCTCGACACTGCAAAGGATATTTGGGATGCGGCCAAGCGAACGTTCTACGACGATTCGGACGAAACATGTCTCTTCGAGCTTAACCAACGCTCCTTTCACACGAAGCAAATGGGTCGCCCTCTGTCCACGTATTACAATGAACTTCTGTCCATATTCCAGGAAATTGATCACCGCCTCCATGCCCAGACAAACACGGTTGATGGTGTTCTTCATTTGCACTCTGCAATGACTCGCCTTCGAGTCCATATTTTTTTTAGTGGATTAGATTCTGACTTCGATCAGGTCAGAGGGGAAATTTTGCGCAAGGATCCAAAATTGGATCTTGAAGGCACCTACGCATGCGTACGAAGAGAGGCTCAGCAACGCCTCACCATGGGGCACCATAAATCCCCAGAGAGTTCTGCTCTGACCACCAATTCTCGCCCAGGACCTCATGCTCCTTCTCATCGCAACAAACCAGAGAAACCTTCTTATCTGTGCTCTCATTGTGGTGAGAAGGGCCACTCTCAACAACGTTGTTATGAATTGGTTGGCTACCCCGATTGGTGGGATTTCTCCAAGCGTCCCAGAAAAAAGACACTTGGGCGAGGATCTGATGCACTCATTCCCACTGCAAATGTTGCTTCCGCCAGCATCTTGGGTAAGCCACAAGCCCTCTCCACACTTTCTGGGAAATCCAACTGGATTATAGACACAGGAGCCTTAGATCATATGGTTCGAGATTCCAGTCAGCTCACCAATATTGGCCCCTCCTCGCAATCTGTGATCTCCACGGCTAATGGTGGTACCTCCCCCATCACTGGTCAAGGTTCCATTTTTTTATCCAATAACCTATCTCTTGATTCTGTCCTCATTGTTCCTTCCCTCGAATTTAATCTGTTATCTATGAGTAAAATTACTGCTACCTTAAATTGCACAGTCACTTTTTGGCCAACTTTCTGTGTATTTCAGGACATCTCCACAAAGATGATACTTGGCTATGGTGTTAAACAAGGTCAGCTCTATGTGCTTGAAGCTACTCCGCAAGGTGGACAACAATTGGAATGTGTTTCTGCTACAACTACTTCGCAGCAGGCTGAAGCTTCTATCTGGCTATGGCATAGGCGTCTAGGTGATCTTTCTTTTAATTATCTTAGGAAGTTGTTTCCCAGTTTGTTTACTGCTTTCAATAAAGATGTGCTCCAATGCAACATCTGTGAACTGGCCAAGAGCCACCGCATTTCTTTTTCTCCAAGTATAAATAAAAGTGTTGTTCCTTTTCAAGTTGTGCATTCTGATTTATGGGGCCCTGCCCAAGTTCCTTCTTTCTCTAAATCTCTTTATTATGTGTCTTTCATTGACGAATGTACCCGTATGACTTGGGTAGCTCTTTTAAAACACAAAAATGAAGTATTTCCTGCCTTCCAAAAATTTTACAACATGGTTCACACACAATATCACACATCCATTCAAACTCTTCAATCCGATAATGGCACTGAATATCTGAACTCCTCTTTCCTCTCCTTCCTCCAAACTAATGGGATTCGGCATCAAACTTCCTGCCCATACACACCCCAACAAAATGGGATAGCTGAGCGGAAAAATAGACACTTATTGGAGGTTGTCAGGGCTTCTCTATTTGATATGAATGTCCCTCGGTCATACTGGGGGGAGGCTGTTACCTCTGCAACTTATTTAATAAACAGAACTCCTTCTAGTGTTTTAGACTTCCAAACACCTTACCAGAAACTTCAATCTTTTTTTTCCAGCCCTCATCTTTCAAATCTTGAGCCACGTGTGTTTGGTTGTAGTGTCTATGTGCATATCCCTAAGCCTTTAAGAAATAAATTGGATCCATGTGCAAAGAGGTGTATTTTTATGGGCTATTCTGACACCCAAAAAGGGTATCGATGTTTTGATCCAGTTAACCATAAGCTTTATGTCACCCTGGAAGTCTCTTTTAGGGAATCTACCCCTTACTACTCAGGGGGAGTGTCTCCCTCTTCTTCTCAGGGGGAGAAACATAAGCATAATCATGGAGAAGAAGAGTTTTTCTCCTATATCTCACCTGCTGAACTTGTTGCCCCTGCTGAACCAGCAACCGAATCTACACTGCCTATTGTTCATGATGCAGCATCAGACACATCACAAGTGGTTACATCACCAACACAAACACCTATAACCGAGGATTCATATGTGGAGGTTTCTGAACCACAAATTAACTCACATACAGAGGTAATTCCTAACTCTGCTCCTACAGATATATCTGCATCTGCATCCCCTTCTAATCCTCA